TACACACACACACACACACACACACACACACAGAGAGGGAGATGGGGAGAGACAGAGAGAGAGAGAGCAATGAAAAGTTTATATTCAAATTCAAATGTTGATATCAACCTCTTGAATGAACTGTCTTTATCTGTTTTCTCTGTCACAACTCTACTGAAGAGACAGGCTTCTGATTTTTTTCAGTCTAATTTATGCAACGTATCTTCTTCGTATACCACATAATTTCATTATATAATCACCAAGTACATTTTCAGTATTAAAACTGCCACATTCAGCTTCTGATTTTGTTTTAAATCTCTCCAGAAGGCCATGTAATGTGATGGGGCTTTAAAGATGCAGTTTCTGGAGCCATGTTGCATGGGTTTAAATCCTAGCTTTGCCACCTCCACACTTGTGTGACTGCAGGCAAACGGTCTTCAGGCTGGAGCCCCAAATTTTACTGCAGGTCCTCTGCCTTTCCTCTCCACACCCACATCTAAAACCTCACTCAGTATCTTTCTCACGAAACTTAGTCATCTGTTTCTCTCAGTAGAAAGAGCAAGAGAGCAGCACCATCCATCCTGGCAACTGAGTCCAGATCTGGAAAATCATCCTGGAAGGGGCCTCCTCTCCTCTACTGCACATTTAACCCAGGAACAATTTTTTTTTTTTTTTTTAATTTTTTTTTTCAACGTTTATTTATTTTTGGGACAGAGAGAGACAGAGCATGAACGGGGGAGGGGCAGAGAGAGAGGGAGACACAGAATCGGAAACAGGCTCCAGGCTCCGAGCCATCAGCCCAGAGCCTGACGCGGGGCTCGAACTCACGGACCGCGAGATCGTGACCTGGCTGAAGTCGGACGCTTAACCGACTGCGCCACCCAGGCGCCCCAACCCAGGAACAATTCTTATGACTCTACTTTCTCAATATTCCTGGAGGCTGAACCCTACCCTCTTGTATCTGTGTGGGACTGCCCTACTCCTGGCTGTCTTTTCTCTTCTGAGTTATCTTGCCAGTTTCTACACTGGTCTCCTGCCCTCCATCATCCACTCCCCTCCACCTGGAAGACACCAAGCCATCTTTTTACAAAGAAGATCTAAGCAAGTTACCGTTCCCTCTATTTAAAGCCCGTTAATGGCTCTCACTACTCAAAGAAGGTGAAGGTCAAATTTCAGTCTTCTCTTGCTGAGGCTTTCATCTCACTATATTCTTCTGCACCCAAGTAGCCTGCTCTGACACCCTGAGCCCCAGTCATCACACATACCTGCAGTCAGCTAACGGATCTATGCTTTGGTTCTCATTGCTCCTTTTGCCTGGGAAGCTCTCACTCTGTCCCAGGGCATTTATCACATGACTTCATTTGAATGTCTAGCAAACAATTAAAGCCAAACGTGGCACAGAAAATATTCCTCACCTTCCACTCTCAAGGTAAGCTGCACATAATTTTATCAGGAGCACTTCCATTCGGCCTATCCCAGATTCGGCATGTTAGTGCCACCAAATAATGGTGCTGAAAGGGATCTGGTGACGGTGAACTTCCCTCTGTCTTAAAGATGGCACTACATTTAATAATTCTAACTAATGACAACTTTCTACCTTCGCTTCATTTACTTTACTTGCCATGAGTTAAGATGCAAATTTTGAAAATCTAATCACGTTAAAAGACAAAAAACAGGAGCCAGGGCTTTAGCTTCACAGAGCAGAAAATCTAGGGGCGCCTGGAGGGCTCAGTCGGTTAAGCATCCAACTTCAGCTCAGGTCATGAGCTCGTGGTTTGTGGGTTCGAGCCCCGCATCAGGCTCTGTGCTGACAGTGCAGAGCCTGGAACCTGCTTTGGATTCTGTGTCTCCCTCTCTCTGCCTCTCCCCTGCTTGTGCTCCGTCTCTCCCACTCTCTCAAAAATAAGTAAATGTAAAAAAATAAAAATAAAAAAAATAACAAAGAAAATCTATTCAACTAGAAATTTAATCTTCAGATATAAAACATGCTTCCTAATGTGTAATTACAATTAACAAATAAAGGAGTTTTAAACAGAAAGTTTCCTCTAGAATATAATTTCTTTTAATGTTTTCATTATTTATTTTTGAGACAGAGAGAGAGGAAGAGAGAGTGCAAGCAGGGGAGGGGCAGAGAAAAAGGGAGACACAGAATCTGAAGCAGGCTTCAGGCTCTGAGCTGTCACGATAGAGCCCAACGTGGGGCTCAAACCCACGAACTGCGAGATCTTGACCTGAGCCGAAGTCGGATGCTCAACCGACTGAGCCACCCAGGCACACCTAAAAAATAATTTTTAAGTACTCTTATTTGTGCCTTGCTTTACTATATCACTCATATTAGTTAGATAAAAATGAGGGAGAAAATACTGAATATTTCTACTATAACATTTTAGGAAACAACTATTAAATTTAAAAGTTGTTGGGTCACCGGGTGGCTCAGTCGGTTGAGTGTCTGACTTCAGCTCAGGTCATGATCTTGTGGTTCCTGAGTTCAAGCTCTGCATTGGGCTTGCAGCTGTCAGCCTATCAGCACAGAGCCTGCATCAAATCCTTTGTTCCCCCCCTTCTCAAGCTTGCTCCCTCTCTACAAATTAAAATTAATTAATTAATTTGAAACTCGTTTTCAAAGAGGTGGCACAAATTGAAATCAGTCTGATTCAAGGTTTTTGAAACTCAGCACTATATATATTTTAAGCCAGAAAATTCTTTGCCGCAGGTGCTGTCCTATGTGGTCTAGAGTATGAGCAGCATCCTGGGCCTCTACCAGCTAAATGTTAGTTAAATCCTTTTCTTTGTAACAATCAAAGCTGTCTCCTAACATGGCCAAATGTCTCCTGGGAGGACAAAATCGCTCCTATTTGAGAATCACTGGTCCAGCCAAATCACTCCTTACCATGAATCCTTTGATTGTCCTGTAGTAGGAATCCAGTAAGAGAGAGCCAAGGGAACAGACCTGGGACGTCCTATCCCAACCATCAGAACAATGTACCAACACACTTGCACTTTCAACCGTTATTGCCTGGAAAGAAAGATCACATACTTAGATTACAGCAGAATACGTTTTAGTTACATCAATTAAGTTCTATTTAAAAACGACACTAGCAAGTATTGCATCACACAGAAGAGCAAGGATGGCAATGGTAATGTCACGGCATAATTTCCAAAAAGAAAAAAAAAAAGGCAAAACACAATAAAAACACAAAGCATACCAACAAAAACCAAAACCAAAACCGCTGTTTCAAAGTATTTGGGGATTTCTTTTTAAGTCCCTACATGAAGTGCCACGTGATCTTTTAAAGCTCAAATGAAAGGAAGCCTCATTAAGGAGGTAACACGTAATAAAACTTATCTGACTGGAAAAGATACCAGGTCCCGACAGAATAAATGTATTCCTTCCCAACCAGTATAAACCCCAAACCAAATATGAGAAAAGAAGGGTTACTTTGGCTAAGAAGATTGCTGCATCCATAACAGCTTTGATATGGCGAAGCCATCCTGAGCTCTCCACACCAGAGTAGAAATCACTGACAGAAAGCCCTTTGGTACCATTAACTAGAAAAGAAGGGAAAAATTTTCAATTAGAATGAGGCTACAGTCTCCACTTTTCCTCCTCAAGCTCTCTCTGAGTTAAATGAAAAAAAAGAAGAGGACAAAATAAAAAGCAGGACTCTATAAATGAAAAGATGCTAGGAGAAGCTCCATAATGGATTTTGGGGGTATGTTTTTCTGTCATTCTTCATGCTTAAGTAAAGCTCCAATCTCTTTTAAAAAAAATTTAAGTACAAAGTGTTTAATTAAAAAGTCTGATTTTTTTTCATTAAAGAATTTTAAGTTTATTTTTGAGAGAGAGCGAGTGAGCGAGCACGAGTCAGGGAGGGGCAGGGAAAGAGGGACAGAGAGGATCCCAAACAGGCTATCTACGCACTGCCAGTGCAGACCAGTGCAGGGCTTGAACTCACGAACCATGAGATCATGACCTGGAGTCGAAATCCAGAGTTGGACATTTTACCAACTGAGCCATCCCAGCGCCCCTGATATTTTAATTTTTAAAATTCCACACCATGACTGGAAAGACACCTTAGTACTTAAATAGAGCATTACTATCATCAACTAATCAATCTAACAATAGCAATTTCTGTAACACCATTAGAACTTTGCTGTCCAATACAGGAGCCACTATCTACCTGAATATGGCTATTGACATATGTTTAGTCCAAACTGAGATGCACTGTAAGAGTGTAAAATACACACTAGTCAATTTCTAAGACTTACAAAAAAAAAAAAAGACCTAAAATGTGTCATTACTAATTTTTATACTGATTACACGTTAACACAATGTTTTTAATATACTAGCTTAAATAAGTACGTTGTTAAAATTAATTTCAACTTTTTTTTTTTTTACTTTTTGGAATGTATAGGAAATTTTTAAATTACCTTAATTTTAAATTTTATAATTGGACTAGCATTATATTTCTATTAGACAAAGTTGCCTCCAAAGCAAGCAATAATTCATACCTTCCAATAACTTCTGAAGGCTGGACCGCATGACGTGAATATTTTCGATTCCAACAAACTGAAATCTAATATTAGAATAGTTGTCTTCATTTTCATAACCTTTTCCAGCTGCTCTGTTGGCCATTGCATTCAGCTAAAATTTATAATTTTAGAAATTTAGAGATAAATTGCTTTTATCTTTTAATTTAGTTCACCAAAACATCACGAAAGCACTAAATGAACCGTATTTTACCAGAGAGTTTAAAGAACACTTTAAAACTGAATATGCTACCATTTTTTAATGAATAAAAGTGTCACATATGTTATTAACAGTAAAGAGGGCTACTAACAACACAATTGCTATGTAATGGAAAGTTCAGACAAGAAGTTCCCCACAAATAATTTATAAAACTAATTCACTTATGTTTGTAGTCAGTTTTCCATATGTTTGCAGTATTTCAAAATTTAGAGGAAGAAAGAAATATCTCTTATCTGAATCCTAAATGATTCAGAGATGAGCAGAGCTGGGAAGTTTTTCTGTTGCAGAATGAATGAGACCCACTTCAGAGCAAGCCTGTGGAGCCCCTGACCATCGGAGAGCCACAGGGACCCTGAAGAATCATATCTGAAATACACGTCAGGTTATCTGAGGTCCTCCACATTAGAGATTACTGGAGGCCCACATGGTACATACCATGGCATGTAATCCACTAGCCTGATATATCTCCAAGAATTGGGCCAAAATAAGGAGAAAACAGACTGCCAGTAGGCCCCATGTCTTTGGTCACTAGATCAAATGTAGAAGTCCATTTAAGATTTGGCATGTTTTAATTCTTCCAGACTAGGATTTCATATTATACATTATTACTGTTTACTAAGTATTCTTATCAACTTGGATGAAACAAAACCTAAATTGAAAGAAAAAGTAGCTTTTCATTCAGTGGATGGGGGCCCAGTTTGGTAACAAGAACAGTTCAATTCTAGCTGCTGGCTCACTGGCTATTCCGCACCTAAGGTGAAAGTTAGATAGTAAAACGCTTCCACATTATTACTACTTAAATTTGAGTTCATCAGATGAGAGTCAGAGATTAAAATGCTTCCACATTACTACTCAAGTTTAACTAGTATAACAAAACAAAGAGAGAGGCCTGTTTTCTGTGTAGAAGTCAATTATACAAATGAGAGGTATAAGGTCCTGAGAAACAGATTGCCCTCAGGCCTCATATTCAGAAAGTCTTGTGTTAGAACAATCGTTTATATCTAATATCATCTAAAAGTAGTTCTGACCTATGAACCCACCTAGATGAAACAAGTAAAATAAAATTTGTCTTATGATATCACCAACATTCTAGACTTCTAAGAACGTCTTTTCTTGTTAACAAGATAAAAGATTATCAAATTATCAATTTCTAATTTTTAATATTTCTTAATTTACTCAAATTAATCTTCAAATTAATCTTCTGTTTCTTCCATTATCTTTTGTGAGAATGCACAATGATGAGAATAACTTCGAGAACAACTACCGTTCCTTTCAACAAAACTGCCTAAAATCGTGTTCTATATCGCTCACTCGCTTTTTCTCATCGCTTTCTCTTATTTTCTCATCATTCCAGATTTTTGAAGAAATCCTCACTATAATTCTGCCAATGTCCTTTTGTGTAGCCCACCAGCTCTGCATGCGATGCTATAATAAAAATTAAAAGTGATGTTAGCTATTACCATTGAGGATTTTAATTACTTTAGTTTCAGGATCCAATATGCATTAGTTGTTTAACTGTGTTTATAAAAAGAAAAAGGGATTCTGACATTTGGCCCAATGATAAAAATTTAACCTAACATTATAGATGCCTAACAGAACAACTGTTTCCTGTTTACTATTTATAATTCTCTAGTTCAATGTTTCTTAAGTTGAACTATTTTCCTTATTTTCTTGAATATTTCAATTAAGCCCCATTATTTTAACAAAAAGTATTTTGACAATTAAAAATTCTACCAAAAACATTTAGTAAGATTTTCTAATTTTTCACAACACACATACTATTTAATATTTCTTCACAATAACATAAGACTTACACATCATCAAGAGCTCTCAATATAAAGTTCAGCTTTTCTAAATTTACGTATAAATCAGAAGACATAAGAAATCACACATCTGGGAAACAAGTCTCCTAACCTGGCATCCTTTTAAAGGCTGCTTTCCTCAGTATCATTAGCCTCAGTTAATTTAAAACTAGGATTCAGATAGGTCGATTATGGGCAATTAGATCAAATCTCACTAATTAAAGTAACAAAGATAATGAAACAAACAGACTGTACTGTATTCAAGACACGTACTTTGGGCCTGGTATCCATTACATACATATAGCGATTGACTGGGTTGGCTTTACTAATGGCTTGAAGCAAATGTTCATCCTCCAGGCACCTGGCACTGAATCCTGATAGTGGCTGACTACATCGACAAATGGCAGCCTAATTTTAAAAGGACAGAAAACAGATTATTCAGAGATGTCTAAAAAATGCTTAAAAGAAAAACAAAAGTTAAAATCAAACATGTAATCTTTTTAAAAGATGCCAAGACAATTAGAAGATGTTAACTCTAAAATACTATTAGAATTAAACGTTTTTAATATCTTGGTGTTATGTAAATTTTCCCAAGATTTTCTTCTAGTAAGAAACTGAAATGCTTCCTTGCCTAGTTTGATGAAAAATTCCTAAATTCTAAGAAGCAACACTTGGTCAATTCTCTATCATGTAACCTACTAAGATACTTGCATTCTATGCTCTAGATTATAAAATACTTTGAACTCAAGTTCAAGTAGGAGATTAGTCAATAAAGGTAGAACAAAATTTTTAAAAATAGCAACATTTGAGCTTTTACTTTCCCAAAGCTTTTAGATCTCTACTGAGAAATCAGATCTTAATATAAAATGAGACATAAAGTAAGAAAAATGAGTTTCAGTTTAAATTTGGGTTAAAACATAGTCAATCTAGGAGGGCAAACATATCTGTAAGAAGTAGTGAATGTTGGATTAGACATTTTAAAGTCTTAAAGAAAGATTGAAAGATTTAGACCCATATACTTTTTCTCCAATCTCATCCATACCAACTCCAACTTAACCCGACCCAACATTCCAACCATAGTATTTAACATTAAGGAAAAAGAGTAACATAAATTCACACATTCACATATTTTAAATTCATACACAAAACCACGAGAATCTAATAAAATAGAAGAAAATGAGGACTGCTTTACATTCTTTTCAGACATACTTTCTGATTTGTTAAATTGGGCACTGAATATCTATTTTCAGCCAAGCTTTCCAATAAATACTGTATACAAATGTGGGTGTGTCAAATAGAGGCCATACCCAGTCATAACTCCCTATGACTTTGTTATGAAGAGTAGATTGAGAATTTCTGTTTAAAGTTTTACTTTTTACCTCTGGCTCCCTTCTAAAATTGAACTAAAATTCTAATAAAGACATCTAAAATGTATAAAATCAAAAAATCAAAGAGAATGGAAAAGAGAAAAGTACAGTAGAAATATTAATAAAATTTCAGTAAATGAAAGCAAATTGATAAGTAATAACCAACTTACTGGAACAAAGAGAGCTGCCAAGTTGTTATAAGTCCACAAGAACCAAGTATTCTGAGCAGCAAAATTTACCTCTGATTTACCTCTGAAAGCCTGACCCAGAGTATAACTGAAAATAGAACTGGCTGAATATCTGTATGGGGACTAGTTAAGGCTCCCACATCTTCCCTCGCCCTGAAGACAAAGTTTATCCTATGAAAAGGATTAACCCGAAGACTCTGGACAATAGGCACAGCTGTGGGTGTAACCCTGAAAAAACAGGAGGATGGGGCGGTTGGGGGGGGGGGGCACCTGGGTGGCTCAGTCGGTTGAGCATCCGACTTCAGCTCAGGACCTGATCTCATAGCTCGTGAGTTCAAGCCCCACGTTGGGCTCTGTGCAGACGGCTCAGAGCCTGGAGCCAGCTTAGGATTCTGTGTCTCCCTCTCTCTCTGCCCCTCCCCTGCTCACACTCTGTCTCTCTCTCTCAAAAATAAGCAAACATTAAAAAATAATTACAAAAAAAACCCAGAAAGAATCCAAAGATAGAGATCACACGTGCACACAAACTTCTGAAGAGCTTTGTAGTACCCCACTTTTAAATATGAGAGGGCAGCTAAGAATCAGGTATTTTGAAAGGCATGAAAAACAAACAAAAAAATAAACAGAAAAAAGGAACTCTGAGCAACAGACAACTAATGTGGGAAGCAAAATAATTCTTTTTAAAAAATCTTTAATATCTTCAGGGAACCCAGTCATCACAGCCAAGAAAAGTGTCTAAAAAGTTCAGAAAATACAAAAGAGTTCTTAGATTTAAATACAGTATAGCAAAAATAAAGAAGTGGACTAGAAACGAAGTTGAGGAAATGTAAAAAATAGAGATGGAAAATAGGAGAGAAAAATGAAGAAAAACGGAAGTTTACAGAAGCCCATTAGCCCATTTGCCAACATACACACACACACACACACACACACACACACACACACACACACACACACGTACAAAGGAAAGTAAAAGAAGACAGGAAGTTACCAAAGAAATGGACAAGTAATTTCCCCAAAGCGAGTTCCCAAAGAGAATTTTTAAAAACACGCCAAAGCACCTCACTGTGAAATTTCAGAACACTAAGGGGAAAAGCAGATTCTAAAAGCTTCCTGAGGAGAAACAATCAGGTCACAAAGGACTGGGAGTCAGAAGTGGCATGGGACTCCCCAACTTACTAGCTGTTAGATCTAGGAAAAGTGGTTTACTCTCTCTGATAGTCTCCCCATCTGAAAGTTACAGGTAGTTAGTAGAGGCTACCTTATCAGATTGTCGTGGGGATTTCATGCATATGAAGCATCTAACACATAGTACCTCGGGGCCTACTATACAAGCTACAAAGAAAACTCTGCGGTAATGGGCAATCCCTATTACAGCATCTCAGTACAAAGATGCCTCCTCCCCCTCTTCATATTGCAGAATCCTTCTGTTTGAAGAGCTTTCTACAAAAACTGAGAGCCTGAAATACTCTTGGTTTTCTTCTTTTTCTTAGTTGGCTTCTCAAGACTGTCTGGTTTCCCCCAGTACACGGGATGAAAAGAGAACCACGGGGAAGAAGAAGAACCTATCTGTGCCTTAATCCTATACTTTCAGGTCCCTATGAGAAGGAAAGAAAGACTGAAGGAGGGCGGGAGAGAAAGAAACATGACAAGTATGAAAGTTTCTGTATTTCAGGCTACTTTTATCTTAAAATTTCAAAAACGTAACCCAGAGTTCCCTATCAGCAACGTTAAAATAACGATCTCTTGATGTAAAAGCGAGTGCTCTTTAGGATGCTTAAACCCGAAGAGGGGTTACACCTCGTTTGTAAATTAACAAAAGAAAAAAGAAAATCTTCTTTTCTTACCTCTTTATGTTCATGATAGTAGGAAAGAACTGGGAATCTTCCCTTGCTCCGGAACTTGGAACTACCAACAATTATTGGTTTACTTGCTATTCGGGGAACATAAAGTTCTCTGGGGTAAGTTTCACAAATCTGTAAAAAATCAAGTAAAACATAACCATTCTTCTCACCATTCAAAGACCATGAGGTTAAAAACCACCTTCAAAAAACTTTCAACTTATTAAATGCAAGTGCGGTACACACACGGACAGACAACTTGCTGCTGGGACACTCTCGGGCTCTGGGACTAACGTTTTCTGAATTTCTCCCAAAAGGTTGCTACGTCGAAGTAAATCAGAAAAAGACAAATACCGCATGATTTCACTCGTACATCGAATTTAAGCAACGAAACAAATGAGCAAAGGGGAAAAAAGAGAGAGTGTGAGAGACAAGCCAGGAAACAGACTCTTTACGGAGAACAAACTGATGGTTACTGGAGGGGAAGGGGGAGGACGGGTTACACAGGTGATGGGGGTTAAGGACGGCACTTGTGAGGAGCCCCCGGTGTTGTAAAGAAGTGTTGAGTCACTGTGTTGTACACCTGAAACTAATATTACACTGTATGTTAACTACCTGGAATTTAAATAAAAACTTAAAAAAAAAAAAAGGTCGCTAAGTTACCTTGTATTCTCGGTTGGCATCAGACAGCTGCCAGTTTGAATTTGGCACTCCCATCCTCTTATATTCCTCGGCAAGGTCAATGAGCTGCCAGCCTCGGAGTCGCTCCGAATCGTTTTGTTTGGGATTGTACGAGAATGCATAGAGATCTTCATATTTTGCTGTAGTATACAAAACACATAAACGTTAAGCTGCTACCATTATAGGATTTATAGTTAAAATTCTACAAATAACAGTTTTTCAGTTGTTGTTTTTTTAATGTTTATTTATTTTTGAGAGAGAGAAAGACAGAGTGTGAGCCAGGGAGGGGCAGAGAGAGAGGAAGACACAGAATCCGAAGCAGGCTCCAGGCTCTGAGCTGTCGGCACAGAGCCTGACGCGGGGCTGGAACCCACGAACTGAGCTGAAGTCAGACGCTTAACCGACTGAGCCACCCAGGCACCCCAACAGTTTTTCAGTTTTATCCCTTCATTTTTCCTTTAAAATTTTCAAAGAGATAACTAATACCTGAACATATTTGAACTGAATATTTTCTCAGTTTGTTAATTCACATGATTATATCTAAAGGGATATCAATCTGAGATTCAATTTATATCATCAGCAAAAGCTAATAAATAATATTTTTATAATACCCTAGTGTAATACTTCTTTTTAAAAGTAAACTTCTAATGACGTACACACTTCTCACCCACCACTCTTCCCAAACGAGATGTGAAATGAAAATACTAATGCTACGTTCCTATACATTCCTATTCCATGCTACATTCCACGTACATTCCTATAGGACAGTGTCAACCAAAAGTGGCAATGGTTGTACGGAGCTCCGGACAGCACTTGTTCCTGAACAGTGTTGAGCCCCTAAAGTGACCATCTTTACTATAAGATTTGGTGTAACCTGGGACACTGGGATAAATGCTACAGGCTTTATGTGTTAGGAGAGAAGGGTGTACATACACCTGCTCCTAGGCCACTACAGTCCGGGTGTTCAACAAAAAAGTACATTTAGTAACCAGTGTGCTTTGTCTCCCTGGAAAGGTCTATGTAATTCAAGTCAATGTTGAGGGAAGGAAGCCTCCAGATCCTGAAGGCGTAAGTAGTAATAGGATTCTTCTCTTGGGCCTACATGTCTCTCACTCCTACCTCTACTAACGTTGGATTCACCCTCCATTTCTCCTTTGGTGATCTCCCTTATGTTCCACTCTGGGCAGTTAAATATATTAAGTCCCACTGCTACCAAAGGAGCCCAACCTTCCTTAACTTCTCATTTAGCAACCAATTTCCAAGTCATTGGAACACCTTATTTGTGGGATACCCACTTGGAAAAAAAAAAAAAAAAAAAAAAA